GTTTCGCCTGAGGTGCCTAGTTTAAATGGAACAGAACTCAAGTCAAGACCAAATTCCTCACTAAAACGACCAAATGCTTTCCGAAGAATTGCTGCTCTGATTTCTGAATCAGGGGAAAAGTGGAAGCAGCAACCCTGATCAGAGAAAGTTGGTCAAATTATCGCCTAAGAAAGCATGCGGATGATGACATCCAAACCCAGTGGGGATTGGCTAACTTGCGACTTGCTGCGACGAGACAAACCGGGACGGGACCAACCTGCTAGAACTAGCGTCTCCCCGCTCTAAATCCTGAAGAATCCAAAGAACCTTCCCCGCAACCATCAACCATCCCTTCCTTTTTTATGCCCGACAGGACAACCCACCCCCCAGCAGTAGACTATCTTCGATCCAGAAATAATCAATTCTACTATTTAGGAGAAAATCCAGATCCACACATCCGGGCATAGCTCTGATAGGGTTGTATCATTTAGATTCTTAAACTCTTAAAATACATATTCATATCCCACAACTTGTTAAAGTGTATCATTTAGATCCTAAATCAACACAACTAATCCCTATATAATCCTATGTGGCGCTGATGTGGCAATGCCATATGGACTTGACGTGTCATTTTTCTTCTTTTTCCCCTTCTTTTTTCTTCTTTTTCTTTTTCGTTTTCTTCTCATTATTCTTTTTTTCTTTTCTTCTATTTGGGTCACAAACAAAGGAGAAGAAAGGAAAAAAAAGAGAGAAGAAGGAGAAAAGGATAAGAAAAGGAGAAGAAAAGGTAAAAGTAAAATTTTTAAATGGGTTATATTTGTTAGTCAAAATGATGCCACGTTCTGTCCGTGTGGCATGCCACATCAGCGCCACGTAGGTTCTTATAGGGGTTGTGGCGATTTGGGACTTAGATGACACACTATGACAAGTTCTGGGACTTATATATGCATTTTTGAGAGTTTAAGAAACTAAATGACATACCCCTATAAATTTAAGAATCGCCCATGTATTTTACTCCATATATTTTAACTGTATAGATCAGTTGGATGGTTACAGTAAACTCATTTTACTTGTGGAAGAATCTCGGGCTGCGTTGGAAACCATTTCTTTCGGCACGCAGAATAAAACGATGAACTAACGCATCATTCATTAAGTATTAACTAAATATTAAAAATATATTAATATGATTTCTATAGATTTTTTTTAAAAGAAATATATAGTTTGAGAAGCGCGGACATTTAAAAAAAAATAAGGCAGTCAAGATTAGGAAATTGTAGCACGGACGCAACCTCAAAGGTTGTTTTAGTTTATGAGTTTTGTGGCACTTCAATAATTCAATGCTACGTACAAGAAAAGTGAATACTGATAGAACTAATTGCAGGTTGCAAAGTTTTTCACATGGCTATTTTGTTAAGTATCACGTGGTTGACTGTGAGCAAATTAGCCGTGTAAAGAGACAAAAAGCTTAAATTACAATATCTTCGGTTGTATAAAAAATAAATAAAATCCAACAAAAAGACATGTCGTCCCACCTGACAATAAAAAGATCACTTTGATGAAAGAAACACATCAAGCTCAATACGTAGTGGTACTGAAAACTGGTTTGATGAGTGAGCTTAGGGTGGCTTTGCAGCCCCAATCCCCCCACAAAGTCACAAGGTCAAAGTTTCTCCACTTTAGCTCGCATCGGCCCCCTTCTTAGCTCCCTCTACCTGTATACCATTAAAACTACGGAAGTATTTGATTTATAGGCATACTTTGTAACATCACACTTTTTACTATCACGGTTTATTAGGTATATATTTGGTTCACTGCCATAGTTATAGCTTGTATATTTTTTTAATAGCATGCTTCACACATTATAGACTTAATTTTCTCATCAACTTTATCCACACTTTGTGGTTTAGCAATATATTTATCCACAATATTTTTATAGCTACCAAAAACTTGTCCGATCTTAGTTATGGCAAAGTGTGATTCTCAACCAAATACACCCTCCGTAGTAGAAAGATGGACTATGATTAGTTTACTTCTAATAAACCAACTTCGTATATTTTAACTATAAGGTTATTTGTGGTTTTCAAACTAAGTGCCACTCCTAATCTTAGGGTTGTTGGTCAGTCCATATAACTTCTTAGATTCCTGGTCCATTTGTGATAGACTAGCGGAGTTATTTTATAACTCCAAAGGGTGATTTATCGTTTTCCATTAGTATGTTTCTCAAACTACTAAACGGTGGGTTCTAAAAAAACATTATTCTATAAAGAAGTTTCTTTTAAAAAAACCATATAGATCCATTTCTAAATTTTAGTTAATACTTAATTAATTATGCGCTAACGGTTTACCTTGTTTTACGTGTCACCGAAAAATTTATCCAAACAGTTGATCCGAACTCACCCTTAACTTCGTGTCCAACTTTGCCTAAGGTTGGTGGCTAATTTTGTTGCCACGAAAGTATGGAAATGCTATGGATAGTCATCTGGCGGAAGAATGTGTGGCAAAATTCACTACTGGAGAAACCTTTTGTAGTCCTGGTTGAGAACCTTTCAACCGGGGCTATGAATCCGAGTGAAATAACCGGAACTAAAGTTGGATCTTTAGTCCCAACTAAAGAGGGCAGCGTCAGTCCCGGTTAGTTTCCTTTTCTCTTTTTTTTTCATTTTTTTTGCTACTTACTACTTAATCCCTAAGTGATTTTCTCCCAAATCGAGTGGGACGTATATTCCCAAATCAAACCCAAAATCAAAGTAACATCTCAAATATCACAAATCAAATACATCATAGATTATACATCTCAGATCCATGCAATGAATCACATATTCTCAAAAAAGAATTATGCATCTCAATTCATCCAATGAATCACAAATTCTTCATCTCAATCCATACAATGAAACATAAATTCTCCAAAAAAAAGAGAAAGAAATGACAAATCTCCAGCAGAGGGGATGCCCGGCCGGCCTCCATGCATGCGCGCACCCGCAGGAGAGGGCACTGCCAGCTGACGGCCGTCGCTGCCACCGCCATCCCCTCCGCTCCACCGCCGCCACCGGATCTGGCGGAGGGGAGCGCGAGGCCGCCGCGCGCGCCTCCCCTGCCACCGCGCCCGCCCGGCCACCGCCGCTCCCGCTCGGCCGCCGCCGCTGACCCAAAGAGCAAGAGAGGAGAGGACTTGGCGGGGAGGGGGAGGAAGGGGAGAGGAGAGGGGAAGTGCCCGGCCGATGTTGCATCAAGATGAGAGGAAGGGATAAGGCTGATATTAAAGATAGAGGAAGGGGAAGGGGATTGATAAGACCAGTTGAGTCCCCAAGAGAGGACTTGGCGCGCGCGTTGCTCGGGAGGATTTTTGGTCCCGCTTGGGATAAACAACTGGGACTAAAGATATATTTTTAGTTCTGGTTGTTTATACTAGCCGGGACTAAGTTAATTAGGGCCTGAGTAGACCTGATAACTTCTTTTAACTGGGACTAAAATTGATCTTCAAAAAAAAAATTTAACTCGGAATAAAAATAATCTTTAGTCCCGGACTATTGTGGTTTTTGGACGACCGATGAAAGATGGTTTCTCCGGTAGTGATTATTTGTCAACCAGACATGGTCTCGTAAGATTGTAGATTTTAGAAAAATATTGTACATTTGCATATGAATAAGTTTTAGAATATTGTATGCTTGTATAAGTTTTAGTTTTGTTTATATATTATATTCTTGACTTACAAACTTAATTGAAAATTGGATCCACTATTAAAAAAAAGCTCACTTACCTCACTCTGTTCAAATTTGCCCCGTTGAACTATTTTTTATTTTAAAGCGAAATTTATTCAATTTTTAACAAAGGCTGGTATTACTCTGTCTCGCATCGCTAAAAAATAATATCAAGTAATAGAGAAAAATAAATAAATAAATAAATACCGAAGAAAGTTCCATAAGGGCATTCACAATGTGCTTAGTTGGCGTTCGGCCCCGGGCTGCCACATCGGAGATTCCACTCCAGATACACATCTGCCGCTACCAACCTGAGGACCGCGTAGCCAAAGTGAACCACCCGTTTTATGTCTTGGTTTGTCAGGGTGGGGCGAGGAATGGGTCGGACGACACGTTCGGAGAGGCATGGCCTCGTGCGACGCCCCCACATCCCATGCAGCGGCGGTCGCCGGTGAGGCCACCATCCTGAGGAAAGAAGGGAAGATGGCGGTAGCGGAAGAAGAGGAGGCAGCGGATCTGGCGCCTGACCTTGTTGTCGTCGTTGTTCCGTCGTGACCCGATCCGTGCCGCCACTAGCCGCCGACCCATTCGCCACCAGCAGATCCTTTGGGGGGGGGAGGAAGGGGAGAAGCGCCCGCTTCTTCTTCCAAGCGGCGCTGGATCTGTGCCGCCTGTCGGAGGTCGCCGTGTGAGCGAGAGAGAGAGGGGGAAGGAGCGAAGGAGCGGCGGAGAAAGCAACAAATGCTTTCGTGGTGGAACAGATATGGGTAAAAAGTTTTTTTTGGTGAGCCCACATTAAGCTCCACGCACTGTGTATATAGAAGCCCTGTTTGCATTTTCCTACGTGGACGCCCTTGAGCTTCTTAGGAGGTAGGGCGCACTGCTGCTGTCAAAAAAAACTGAGCCTACTCAATTTCATCCTGTCACATGTAACGTGCAGTATGGACGTTATGCTAGATGTAAGAATCTTACCAGGTTTACCGCGAACTTGCACGAGTCCTCGGCAACAAATTTTTCATCGGTTTGTCTGTGTTTAGTTCACGCAAAAATTGGAAGTTTGGTTGAAATTAGAACGATGTGATAGAAAAGTTGAAAGTTTGCGTGTAGGAAAGTTTTGATACGATAGAAAAGTTGAAAGTTTGAAGAAAAACTTTAAAACTAAAGGCGGCCGAAGTAAACTGGGAGCGGTGTTTGCAGCCAGCCTGCAGGGACGGTGAGGGCCTACTTACGCAAGAGGGACGGGGAGGGCCTACCTACACAAGTAGGAGTAGGCATGTTGCTACGGCTAAAGCAGATCACGCTGCTACGCCTTGCTGCTACTCCACTCTGCTACTGACCGCGCGCCTAGCCAGTCCAGTCCACCCAAGCCAAGCCCACGACCCGCACCGCAACACGCACACCCACGCGCACGCACAAACCAACAAGGTAACCAACCAACCAGCGACTCCCCCCAGCCTCGACGATCTTTCCGCGTTAATTCTCCGCCCCCCTCTCTCCTCTCCTCTGCTTCCCTCACCTCCTCCCCGCTTTTATATAACGCCGCCTCCTCACTCACTCCCCTCCCCACCACGCACGCACCGCACAGACGCAAGCTCACCTCAGCTCAGCTCACAATTCGGCTGTATCCAAGATCGCCATGGGCTTCCCGGTGGGCTACTCGGAGCTGCTCCTCCCGAGGCTGCTGCTCCAGGTGCTCCTCCTCCTCGGCCACCTCCATCGCTTTCTCCTCTGGGCCTTCCACGCAGTCGGCCTCGGCGACCTCATCGACAACCCGCCCGGCCTGGCGGCCACGGAGCAGGACCTGATGCTGCAGGGGCGCGGCGGCGGGATGGCGGAGGGTTGGGCGTCGTCGTCGGCGCTCCAGCACCGCCGGCCCGAGTTCAGGGCGATTCCGCCGATGGCCATCGAGGAGGCCCTCCCCGTGGTGCGGTTCGACGAGCTGGTGGCGTCCGCCCCGGCGGCGGTGTGCGGTGGCGGCGACTGCGCGGTCTGCCTCAGCGGCATCTGCGGGCGCGACGAGGTGCGGCGGCTGTCCAACTGCCGCCACGTTTTCCACCGCGGCTGCCTCGACCGCTGGATGGCCCACGAGCAGCGCACCTGCCCGCTCTGCCGCGCGCCGCTCATCCCCGACGAGCTCTTGCCCGCCGCCTCCGGCCTGCCTGACCCCTCCGACTACGACCTCTCGTACTACCCATCCCCGCTGCCGCTGGCGCCCACCCCGACGCTGCTGCGACCACACGAGCTGCTGCTCAACGGCTTGGGCGGTTTCCAGTGAGCCCGCCAATCCACCGCCCCGGTCAATTTCGTTGCAACCGGCATGACAGAGCTGCCTCAACTACGGCACACGGGCACATAGGCGTCCTGATTTGTACATAGGCGCCAAGGAGAACTCCCCCCAAAAAAACACAAGTAGGAATAGTTTGCTGCTATATAGGTCGATTCCACCTTCCAAGCCTGCGAAGTTGTGAATCCTTTTTTTTTTGCAGATTACTAGTAGTATATTAAATTTGTTGAAGCAGAGCAGTGCCACAGTTTGGTGCTTGCTAATTTGGCAAGCCGTTTAATCCAATCTCCCCACGCTATTCAAATCTTACCCGTCTCCTTTGGCTCACCGATTCTGAACGGTCACCGAGTTTTACCTCATCTGAGCACGAAGATCTCGCGTGATCTAACCGACCGACGGCCTGTGTTGACCGGTTTCACTCACGTCATCGCGCGGCTAACAGGACGGACGGGTAGATAGAGAGCACATCCATTAAATATGCGGCTAAATCCGGTCAACGCGTTGCTCTCGACAGCGACAGACTACCGGCTCCAGGCAGGCAGCGGCAGCAGCAGCCACGCCCGGGCACTAATCTAATTCCGTCCCCGTGCAGCTGCGTCGAACATTCGTAAGCTCACGCGGCGGCCATCGTAGGTTTCGCGGCTGCCAGCCTGCACGCAACACAGCTATTATACGAGTATAATAAACAAGAAGAAATCTCAAGTGACAAGTGAAGTCCAGAAGCCGCCTCGTGCCTTCGCATCTTTACACTACACCGAAATCGGCAGAGCAGCTATGTACTATCGCGTGTCATTCCGTCACAGTTAGAGCGACGAACCCATCGCGTGTGGCAAAATGTGGTGGATTCCTCAACCTGAGAAGCAGCAAGCCAGCAATTAACAAGCGAACTGAGGCCCAACACGCTTTCGACGTGCCGTGAATCGGGTGGACTACGCCCGATTCCCGTCTCGCTGTCGCGGGTTCACCCCGTAGAAAGGGACCAATATCCTTCCCGAGTTTGTCTACGAGGGAAGAAATCTAAGGACGATCTCTACAGAATCTCTTCCGATAGCTCAAGTGGTACGACTACAGTTCAAAGGACATCAAGTGACCCACTACAAACTGTAGTAGATTGAATAGCAGAGATCTAACCCTTTTTTTCTTTTTAAGGAACTTCATAAACAATAAAATCCTACTATCTGCATCACTTCAGCCTTCTTGAAACAACAAGAGGGACATACTTCATATCATATATATAGATGCGTGCTGGCATGTAGAGACACTCTAGCAGCAGGACTCCCGAACTTGACCATGCATGGTCAGTTGGTCACTCGACACAGATGCCACCCGCAGACAGATATTGTGCATCTCATGATCCATGTGCCTCGCCCTGACGACAAGGGAAGGAATCACATGCTTTTTTAGCTGTAACAGTGACAACCCGAGCACTCTCTCGCCCCTGTGCCTGTCAAGATTGGGCGTTTGTCCGTCCGGAGAAAGAGACCGCAGGTTCAGCCTTAGAGCGGAATCAGAGCGACTATTTCTCTTTTCTGCTGGGCTCAAAGTCCAAGTCTCTTCTACTGGTTTGGGCCATGAGCCCATCTGCTGCCCAGTTACTGTTTCTGAAAGCCCATGAACCACGAATTGAAGCCCACGAAACCATAACCAGTGAGGTCCACGGAGCGAAGGCTGCGAATCGAAACCGAAGAGGGGGAGATCTCTTGAAACAAACAAACGGAGCCGAGGAGGAGCCAAACCGCTCCCATCAAACGCGCCACGCGCGGCGCGCGAGCAGAATGCGCGACCCGACGAGCTCTCACGCCACGCCATCCCAATCCGATCCATTCCCCGTGAAAATCTATCGCTTCCAGCGAATCCAATCCGTTCCTCTCGCCAGGAGAGCTCTCGCTTTTCGCCGCCGACGGCGACGGCAACGGCAACGAGGAGGTGAAACCGTAAAGACGGTCAGAGACGGCGCGCGCAATGAAGGCCGCCGCCGCCACCGGCGGCGGCGGCAAGGAGACCCTCGCGGCCACCCTCCTCCGCTACCTCATCATCTTGATTGTTCCGTTCACCGTCCTCTACATCCTGTACACCCTCCACGCCATTCTCTCCTCCACGCCGTCCTGCCCACTTGATCGCCCCATCGTCACCTCCTCCGTTTCTCTGTCCCAACTCTCCACCACCCGCAACCACACGCCGTCGTCGTCCTCCTTGTCTACGCCGCCACCCGCCCCGGTGTCGATGGCGGCGACGACTCTGCAGCACGTGGTGTTCGGCATCGCGGCGTCCGCTCGGCTGTGGGAGAAGCGGAAGGATTATATCAAGATCTGGTGGCGCCCTAACGCCGGAATGCGCGGGTTCGTGTGGATGGATCAGCCGGTGCGGGAGTCCGGCGTGCCAGACGGGCTGCCACCAATCAAGATCTCGTCGAACACCTCCGGCTTCCCTTACAAGAACCGCCGCGGCCACCGCTCCGCCATCCGCATCTCCCGCATTGTCTCCGAGACGTTCCGCCTCGGCCTCTCCGGCGTGCGCTGGTACGTCATGGGCGACGACGACACCGTCTTCCTGCCAGACAACCTCGTCGCGGTCCTCCAGAAGCTGGATCACCGGCAGCCGTACTACATTGGCTACCCTTCCGAGAGCCACCTGCAGAACATCTTCTTCTCGTACGGGATGGCGTTCGGCGGCGGCGGGTTCGCCATCAGCCAGCCGCTGGCGGCGAGGCTGGAGCGGATGCAGGACGCCTGCATCCACCGGTACCCGTCGCTGTACGGGAGCGACGACCGGATCCACGCGTGCATGGCGGAGCTGGGCGTGCCGCTCACGAGGCACCCGGGGTTCCACCAGTACGACGTGTACGGCGACCTCCTCGGCCTCCTCGCCGCCCACCCGGTGGCGCCGCTCGTGTCGCTGCACCACCTCGACGTGGTGCGGCCGCTCTTCCCCAACGCGCGGTCGCGGCCGGCGGCTTTGCGGAGGCTGTTCGAAGGGCCGGTGGCGCTGGACTCGGCGGGGGCCGTGCAGCAGTCGATATGCTACGACGCGCGCAACCGGTGGACGGTGTCCGTGTCGTGGGGGTTCGTGGTGATGGCGTCGAGGGGCATGATCTCGGCGCGGGAGATGGAGCTGCCGGCGCGGACATTTTTGAACTGGTACAAGCGCGCGGACTACAAGGCGCACGCCTTCAACACGAGGCCCCTGGCGCGCCGCCCCTGCGAGAAACCGTCGTTCTACTACCTCTCGTCGGCGCGCCGCACGGTGGCGCGCGACGGGGAGACCACCGTGACGACGTACCAGCGGTGGCGCCACCGCAATGACATGCGCCCGCCGTGCCGGTGGAAGATCGCCGACCCGGACGCGCTGCTCGACACCGTGGTCGTGCTCAAGAAACCTGACCCCGGCTTATGGGACCGGGTAATCCTCACCGATCTCACATTGATGATTTATGAACAGAGGATTGAGCAATTTTTAATCACAGCAGTGTACAAAGTATATTAACTGTCAGTTTTACATGAATCTGCAGTCTCCAATGCGAAATTGCTGCAGGGTGCTGTCGTCTCCCAAAGGACAGGAAGGAAACAAGACGATGACCATAGACGTGGGTGTATGCAAGGATTGGGAATTCAGCCAAGTATAATCCATTAGGCGGACAGAACACAGAAGTGCATAGGTGATTCATCTTTCATCTCCTTTTCTTGTATCCATGTAACAGTAGGATGACAAAGGGTCACTTCCTTAAATAGGAAAGGCATATGGCACATGTGATCAAAACATTAGAGTATGGGACATGAGAACTCTATTTACAGTCCCATATACCCATACCAAACTAGAAAAAGAGTAACCACTTTAACCTCTTCTCGCAGTAAAATGGAGAGGGATAGAACAGAACTGTAATGTGCTCGCAAGTTCAAGATTCGTATTGCTTGACAATGCTGGCAGCTTTCAAAAGAATATCTTGTTCCACTGTTGTCCATTCGTCTCTTCTCTACAAAAGTATCATAAAAATATTGTTAGAGTAATCAAGAAAATAGAATACAAATGAATTTTCTAACTCTCTAAGAACAGCTCTTTATAAACACATCATCAAGTTCAGGTTGAGTTATTAAGCCCCACTAAAAAGAGCAGTCATTTTGTTAATTTGCTTCCTAAGAGCATTTCACAACGTAAAAAGCGCTTTTGCCATAATAACCTGAAAGAGTTGTAGAAACAACTTTTACAATACAACGCACTGTTTCTAGCTTTTTCTGCCTCTTCCTCGAATATGTGTCAAGTCACATTTTGTGATCTCCATTGGTGGATGTGTAGAGACTTTCACTATATATTCTCTCTTATCTCATCGCCATCTCTCCTCCATTCCGGATGAAAGGCTGAGGTGCGTATAATAACATAGTCATTCTGCATTTTGAATGCTCTAAATGCATTTATCTGTAAACAACTAACATAAAACTGCATGATGTAATCCCAAGATTTGACAAAATCTAACAAAATACACAAATTGTCCTACTCTTACGAAGCAGTCAACAACTGTGCTGTGGGAGCTCCTAGACTTCTTGCAGTGTGAGTGCAAGACATCGCTGGAGCCTATGACATTATGTTCCTACTATAGTGAATAATGTGTGTTGTTTTGGACGGTCTATTACTTCGCTCGAAACCATGGTTCTCTGTAGAGCTCGTGTCAATATGCAGTTGTGTACGAAACATGCATACACATCAGTGCAGACTATACCACTAGGACATACCAGTCGGTACCAGTTTACCATAGCAAGTGCTTGTGAAGCCCTGATTTATTTCACATCGAAGTGCAAGAGAGGTAAAAATCACTAATATTCCAAACTTGTCAAACTATGATAAGAGTATAATTAACATACCATGCATTTGATGTTGCAATCACTAATATTCCAAACTTGTCAGAACTATGATAAGAGTATAATTAACATACCATGCTTTTGATGTTGCAACCAATGGTAAGCTCTCCATGTGAACTTTCTAACCGTGAGAGATAGCAGTAAGGAGCATCAATGTTTGGGTTGGACCTTAACTTCACTTTTATCTCCTCTGATATAGTAGGAATCTTTTCAAGGTCTTCAATTATAACAGGAATTTTTACCACCCTAGCACGCCACACAGCTCTTGATTTATTGACTATAATCTGTATCATCAGACGAAATCATATGGAGGGTCAACATGAAGCAGTGTCAAAACAATGGTCTATGAAATGGAAATCATGTCCAAGGAGCATTGTCTTTCAGGAAACAAAAGTAAAACAGAATCACCACAAAGGTGGAATTACTTGGCTGGAGAACAGTGAGTTAGGAACTACAACAGGGAGGTTTTCTGGGTTAATCAATAACGTGGATGTCAGTCCAATTTCAATAACTTTTCCTTCTATTGACCCAGCCTGCAGAAGGAAAGAACTTCAAATTACTCAGGTATTATTGCTCTGAATTTCGATATAGGAGTATCAAAGCTAAAGAGACACCTCAAGGCATGCTTGCTGATCAGGATTATGGAATATTGAATGGTTGATAATTTTAGTGAACGTTTTTGTTTTTCTAAGCCTACATTTACTCCTTCCACTGATAGTTTGACGTTCTCACTCTTCGAAAAAAGTCCAATAAGAATCTGATGTTACACAGGAGGCCAGGATATAGCGTTCACAAGTCAATTTTGGATGGTTTCAATACTTAGTCCTTTTTCTAAGAGTTGAATCAATTGCACCTTTTTTTTTCTGAAAGAACAAAAATCATAATGCACTATTCTAGACTTAGGATGCATTTAATCGAAACATGCTTGAGATAGGATGGGTTATTTCAAACTTTATCAAGTAGTTGAGTTATTTTTTATTTAAATCTCCAACGTTTTTTATCTCCTTTGTTGTCGTAAAATGATTATCTTCCTAACAGACCGTGACTTGGCTAGATAATAAAAAACATATATCTGAACTTTCCACCATATTAGCTATTAAGACAAGAGAACGTCTCATCCAGAGTATTTGAAGAATCAAGACTTTAAACTTGGTAGCTCATACAGATTTTATGTAAAAATAAATTCATGGTTCCAAAAAATGAGCATGCACCTTTATGTTATCCCCAACCAAGAATGGCTTTGAAAATTGTAGAGAGAGCCCACTCAGTATGTTACCTAAGACATCTCTAGCAGCAAAAGCAGTAGCAACACCTAGAGAAGCATAAAGGAAAAGCTGTTAGTTCACATTTTATCCAGATTTTAGTTATCGGCAGGAAAGTTACCATAATACAGATTGAAGAGGAATTTGTCATGAAAAGAAATAAGTATGAGTTGAAACAAACAGCCTCTTATGTGTACTATTTCCTGAAAACTTGAGCATACCTCCGACACCACCAACAGTCAATATTGACTGCACAGGTACACCGCAAGCTTCAGCAAGAGCCATTCCTCCAAGTGCAATTAGTGCTAACGATGACACCTTATCAAATGTTAACAATCTGTCTCTGTCCATCCCTATAGCAGATTGATTGGTCATAATATTAGCAATGAAGTTAGTTTTCCACTTCTGAAGAAACCACAGAAGAGATACAACAAATGTTCCTCTCCATGCCTGTGGAAGATAAACTGAAATACTTGGCACAACAATTGCAGCCCTGAAGAAGGAGAAAGAATTAGATGCATTCCATACATACAGAACGAATTACAGCACTAAAAATCATTTCACTTACATATTTATATCTAACTAAGAAAGTATCTATAATTTGTATCATATTGTACAAAAGAAGAAAATAACATCATGCTACCAATCTGTAAGGAAAAGTGAAGAACATATATTTGCCAACAAATTTCTTGCACATAATGCTGCAGACAAATGCTTTAGAGGACAAAACAAGTGTGAAATGCATCATATAGCATCTTTGTTAAAAAATATAAGATACACTAGAGGAATTTCGGAATTTCCCTTAGAATAAGATTAGGTGAATTTAGATGTCATTTCTAGCACCTGTACTATAACAATACTATGCATCAAACGAATAAATTTCTCCTTGAAGTGTGAAATTGGACCTACATCTGTGAAAATGCCATAAAAGTGATAATACATTTTGCAGGATCTTCCAATGCACTCCACAAGCTTGTTTGATAGGACATGTATTTCTTAGTTGACTCCCCTTCAAGCGTTATGAGAGGATTTTCTGAAGTGTACTTGTGGAGCTTCCTTAGAACAATAGGCATCACAAACCATGCAACTGCTGTACCCATCAGTGTCCCACCAAGTGGGATGACCATCCTCTGTAGATCTGGATAGGTAGCATATAACTCCTGGATGCAAGGTACAATTGGATCAGTCATCGCCTTCAGTTTCTTAAGTGCGGCTGCAGTAGCATCTATGGTAGAGTGACGGGCACTATCTAAAATATCAATCCAAGTGTTGCCACTGTGATCTGTGGCGCCGACTTCAGAAGTTTCTGTAGAAGAAACTTTGGCCATAGCATTTTTGTAATCTTCTGGCTTGGCTCTAGCATCAGAGGAATACATGCGACGAGAACTTGAGACACTTGAGAAACCCAGTGAACGACTGTGGTGATAACAGTGGTTTACGTGAGATGAAAGGGGATGTGTGCAGATTTTTGCTACACTACTAATTGGTGAATATTGATCTACGTCATCAATCTGATAAGATGTAGAAGTTTCCCATTTTGAAGTTTGCTCTGTGCAGCTTAACCATCTCAGAGGAACACCAAAATATGGGCATGACTGAAGAGAAGTCTCTACGAGGCTCTGACTGGCAGCTGCTTGACGAAATCGATGCAAAATTATTGCAGTCCTGGACATTTTTTTATCCTTTAAATTTTCAAGTTTAACTTTGCAAAGTAACTAACAAAAAGACCCTTGCACCGACTGAGACATCTAGATGGTTGACCTGCAAGAATAAATTAAGAAAACTATAGAGTGAGCATGCATTCATGGCTACGGAAGAACACAAAAAAAATCATGTATTTTAATGAAAGATGAAGATGAGCAAATTCTAAAAACTTGAAGGTAAATGACACTCTCCTAGAAGCACAGCTGCACAGATTGTCTGCATCCATATTTTCCTCCTCTTTTTTTTCTCTTACATTATTCTTACATCAGAGCATTGACAGTGATATGGTTATTGCAATTCAATTGTAACAACAAAAACCAGTTGAGAATCCAAGCACTTTCATAGGGGAAAGATACTATTAGATAAAAATCTGACACACGAATGACTGATAATTTTTAATAAAGAATACTGCTAAAGCAAGTGAATGAGGTTGTTTAAGCAAAAATGGCACGAAAAATTATGATAGATCATAACTGACATACTGACCACAATTTTCAACATGTTTTGGCAAATTTGGCATGTCTGGTCCTAAAAATTGGATATCAGCCAACATTTGCATGTGGGTGCAGCCATCACACTGTTTTAAACAGCGGGTTAACTAAAAAGTAACTGACGCGACATGCACCAATCTAATTATAGTAGGCTAACAAGGATGACCGCGTCAACATGCATGACAAACTGCAAAAGTGAAAACTATTGACGGACAAATCTGTGCAGTGTGCACGAAAATTTAACGGCTTTCCAAAACATGATCTGAAAATTGACTGCATAACAAGGGGATGTTTTAAATTAGCTTTCCATGGTCTTTCAGCATCCCGAAAGAAGATAGTACACTCCATCAGATCAGCAACAATCACTGCATGTAAGGGGAGGATGTGGGGAGGGTATGGATTTCCAGACAAACAACCGTTTTAGCCTACAGGCCGCTGCTAATTCCAGTTAGCACACTGAAATTGCTATAAGCCGCACCTGCCCATGGTTGATCATAAGGTGTTCGACAGAATGCCACAACAGCTGAACGCACGGTTCTAGCCACACGCGCGATAGATCGATCGCTCGATCGACAACGACATCCACAGTTCCGTCGAACCGCACAAAACAAGCAGCCGATCCAACCGTCCGTTTTGCACTAGAACATCCAAAATCCGAAACTAGCAGAAGTAATTTAGGCGCCTAATCCCCTCAGCTCGATTCGGACCCAAAAAACAGCAGCTACAGCGAAAGTACAAAAATACCAACACAAGGTAATCGGAGTGGAGCGTGCGCTTACGATTAGGGAGGCGGAGGAGGCACGGGATGAGACTGAGAGCCGGGCCGCCTGCTTGTTTCGCCGCCTCGCTGCTCTCGATTTCCAGCCTTCCAGGTCTCTCTATCTCTCCCTCTCTCCGGTTCCGACACCTGGGAGAGGCGCTGGCATTGTGATGGCGATGTGCTATTCAGCTATTGGACCTTGATGCCCCGAATCCCTGATACGCGGCCAACGGTGCGTTTTCTCTCGTTCTCCTGCGGGAAAATTGAAGAGAAAAAGCATACGCGTGGCTGCATGTGACGCTGCAAGCGGGGGCCAAAAAGAAAATGGCATCCCTTGCTCGCGTGGCGGTGGAATAGGTTCGAGGACAGCTATACAATGGGATCCCGTTGCTACGGGATAAGATCTCCACTACCTTATCTCCTTCCCTTCTCCTCCACAAACTCTCTCTCTCTCTCTCACAGGAGAAAATAACGAGAGGCGGAGATGAAGCTGGCGGGGTCGTCGTCGTCGTCTCCGGCGGCCGTGGACAACGACGGCACGATCCACGACGTCGTCCTTCGCCCGCTGCGGTGCCGCCTCCGCGCGCTGTGGCGCTGCTTCTTCCACTAGCGTTCCCGTCGCTGCCGGCGCCGGGGCCTCTCCCCTCCTCCCTCGCGCTCCTCGCCAAGGTCGTTGTCGTCCTTGCCCGCTGCTCCCGTCGCCTCATTGCCGGTGAGCGCAGGTGGCTCCTCCTCCGCTGCCACAGAAGCAGAAGAAGCCAGCGGTCTCGGTGTCTCGGTCACCACAACGCCGGCGGCAACATGCTCTAGAACCTCTACCTCCTCTCCATCCTGATACTTGGTACCTTGCGTATCAGTTGGTACCTAGTACCTCGTACCCTGGTATCGACTGATACCTGGTACCTTGGGTATCGAGCTGATACCTAGGTGTCAAGCATTGGTACCTGGGTATCGAGCTGATACCTAGGTGTCAAGCATTGGTATCTGGGTATCAGGCCTTGGTACCTGGGTATCGACTGATACCTGGTACCCTGGGTATCGAGCTGATACCTAGGTATCAGTGTGATATCCCAAGAGAGAGGAGGAGGAGGAGGAGTCGCGGGTCGGGGAGGTCGAGCAGCGGGGCGGCGGCAAAGGAAGAGGAAGAGGAGGCGATAGATCTAGTGCCTACCTTGTGCCATTCCGTCGCTCGTCATCGTGCCTCGCTCCAAACCGCCGAACCTGTGGCTCCATCAACGCCGCCTAGAGCAGCTCCTCATCACTCATGTTGTGCCAAGCGCTCACCCCCGGTGGCCGCGTCCACCGCTCCCCAACCGTAGGAGGCGCCAGCGCCGCCGATGAGGAGGAGGGTGGCAGCGGCGAGGAAGCCAGCGACAAGAACAACGAAGAGGAGGAGCGGCTTGAGGAGCTTGATGGGGAGGCTTCTCGACGGTGGCCGTCGCCCGTGGTGGTCGGGAGCCCTGCCGGCTGTCATCCAGGTCGTCCGCGGGGGCTGGTGGTGACGGCACCGTCGTCGTCGTCGTCATCGTCATCGCCGCCTCCATGCTCATGGGTGGTAGTCACAGAGAGAGAGATCGAGTGGAGGGGAAGAGACAGAGAGAGAGCGAGTGGAGAGGAAGAGACACAGAGAGAGGGGAAGAGGAGATAAGGCAGTACTACTATCCCGTCTCCACGGGATGCCGTTAGGTAGTTTTTCTGAATAGGTTCGTGTAACATCTTTTCGCTTTTATTTATGCTTAGCAGTCAAAATTTAAATTTTTAATCTTAGATTTGGACCTGATTTTGTGGTTTTCTCATTAAAATTTGTTTTTCAGCATTTACTTTTAGATCACTAGGAACACCTATATAAAAATTTTATTCATAGATTACTTTTCGTTTGTAAATATAACCTTTCACTTATTCCGCGAAGAAGCGAAACGATAGCTCCGAGAAAACTCCAAGCTAAGCATCATTCCAGATTTCCAATCTTCAAACGTTGCGGGTGTGTTTAGTTCACACTAAAATTAGAATTTTGATTGATATTGGAATGATGTAACGGAAAATTTGAAAGTTTGTGTGTAGGAAAGTTTCGATGTGATGAAAAAGTTGGAAGTTTGAAGAAAAAGTTGGGTACTAAGGGCAAGTTTTATAAAAGAGGTGAATGTTGCATCTAATCTTGACCACATCATCAACTAATAAATGTAGAGGTAACATGTACAATATATCAAATCTATACTAATTCTAATACACTAGCCCCAATGTTTGTTTGCCCAATCTACTCTTCCTCTCTCTCCTTTTGTCTTGAATTTTGTGTAGTGGTTACCTCTTGCATGAGAGGTGGCTGCTTATCTCTCTCATCTCTTCTCTCCTCCGCCTCACTATTTTAGCTTATGTGACACCTAGGAGATTGTGCTTGGATGCCTATAGTACTTGCCCTAAACCAGGTCGTAGTACAGCATAAAACTTATAGCTTTGGCTCACGCAAAGGTGTGGGGATACAGTGGTGCAGTTCTGCAGTGGAAAGAATTTAAGCACAGATCACCATAGATGGTGGTGGTGGCTAGGGAAGCACAAGCACAAACTAGGTAATGATAACTAATACAGGGTTTCGATGATTGATCCAGCATCATCGGTAAGTTATGGAAGTCGAAGAGAAGATAGCCGAGGCTACGGCGAGGATAAAGTAATATAACCCTGTTCATCTCTGACTGTGTTTGAGCAAGTTTAATAGCATAGTCCACTACTAGTTTTAATTCATCTATAGCCAATCTAATAGCTAATTCATACAATAGTTGTCTACTATTCTATTAGTATATGGTCCCACCTATCATACATACATTGCGTCTTGGAGTCCGTACTGCAGCTGGCTGCAGATCTATAGCCTGCTGCTATTCTCTCTTATCTTTTATCTCATTAAAATATACTTGTAACTGACTAATAGTCTGCTATTGTACCTGCTCTTAGCTAGGTTGCTTGGTCTAAAACCTTGTATACAACAACGTAGCCATCGCCTGGCTACCATTGGCTGCTGTTTGGGCTCGTCGCTAAACATTCAATTAAATTTTCAGCGGTTGAAAGGATTGGCCATGGAATTTCTATAACAAAAACTTGATATAGTAAAAGTTTTATCGGGACTTAAATATCTTTCTACTTTCATCACAGCTTGTATGCGAAACACTAAATTAAAGGCTCCATTTGAAACATGATAGTAAGAAGGTAAGAATATAAGAAACATAGTACTGAATATGATTGTACGTGTAAAACAAATAATTATAAAACATATGAATTTTGTTGGATTGCTTCTTTGAAACATAGGAATAAAAAAAATCGCACAATAAGTCATAACTAAATTTTCCACGCTGTTGGCAATTGGCCACAAGCCCACGACAATCACACAGTTGTTACCCTGTGTTGATCTTATGCAATGGCAAGAGGAAAAATAGGTCGATCTAGATGGATTTATTTTTGCATGCACTTTTTCTATGAAATAATAGGTGCAGGATTTTTGTTCCCTCCGTTTTTTCTTCGTTGTTTTCCTAAGGCATATACCATTCTCAAATCGGAATTTGAATCCTGAATTTTTCCTTAAAAAGCCTCAATCCAAAGGAGGCTTAAGTAGGCATGTTATATTTCTCCAACATGTTTTTTTATACTTTATCCATACCAAAATATAACAACTCATAAGTTTAAATTTTATATCAAATATAGCAAGCTGCACTACTAGAGAAATGATCTTTACTGGATCGACCCAAAACCACATAGACATTCTATGATCTTTAGCCTCGGTTAAAAACCCCATAGCCATTCTATGATCTTTAGTCCCGGTTCATTCGCTGTCAGAGACATGTCAGGGGGCCGAGGTCCTAAAGATCACCACTTTAGTCCTAAAGATCACCACTTTAGTCCCGGTTGTAGGATTGAGATGTCGACTAGAGGGGGGTGAATAGGCGATTTAAAACTAAATGACACCTAATCAAAACTAACCTAAGTTGCTAGGCTTGGTGAGGGTGAATTCTAACTAAGCAACTAAGTTATGTTTTGCAAACCTAGAGTGATAGTGGCTCAATTATATCTCTAGGAAAGTAAATCACACTCCTATGTCAATGTTTAGCAATCCTAGGGTGATATGATCTCAAGTATGTCTCTAGAAATGTAAATTGCACAAATGTAAATGCGACAATCAAATGAGACAAGGAGACAAGAGATTTTTCACCGAGGTTCGGAAACTCGCCGGTTTCCTACTCCCCGTTGAGGCTAGCCCAACTCCACCGCTCAACCACGAAGCCACCGCACGCCCCCTTCGTCAAGGGGTAGGCAAGGCGGGAGCCGGCCCACGGAGAGGACTACCCAAGCCTCTATCACTAGGGTAGTTCTTCCTTCACTCCGAAGGTGGTGAACTCCAAACCACTCACAAACCGGCGCCGGGCCTCCTCCACAATCTTCTCGGAGAGGTCACCGGGCAACTCCTCCACATGCCGTCTAGGAGGCGGCAACCTCCAAGAGTAACAAGCAATGACCCGGCGTGGAGATGATCAATCAAGTGCCATACTAGCTCTACAAATGGAAACAATGCACTTGACTCTTGGCTAATTAACTCTCTAACACACTAGATGGATGAACACAAAGCTCAAGTAGGTGTGAGAGAGGTGCAAGGGGTGTATGCAATTGAATTGGGTGCCAAGAGAGACCCCTTGCTGCTGGAGGGGGAGTATTTATACTCCCACCAACCAAAACTAGCCGTTGGGGGCGAAATCCCCTAACTTTGTGCTCTGCCGGTCTGACCGGAGGTATGCGGCCGGTCAGACCGTGCTACTCTACAACGGCTAGAAAACTAGCTGTTGTAGTGTTGTCAGAGGGCCCCATCGGCCTGGCCGGTCAGACCGGCGTTGAGTGGGCGGTCAGACCGACCTCGGCTCGGTCAGACCACCATCGCCTCAGTCTGACCGAATACGGCTCCGTCGGCTCTGTATCGGCCACCCCGAGCAGCACCATCCCGGCCTCCAGGGGGACGGTCTGACCGCGCATGTGCCGCCGGTCAGACCTGCCTTATTCGCCGGTCAGACCGCCATCTTGCAGCCGATCAGACCGGCCAGGGCACGCCGGTCAGACCGCCACTATGTGGCCGGTCTGACCGCCCCTGGTCAGGCCGAAACCAGTGAAATCCCAAGTGATTGTGTGTGATGAAAAGCGAGCACAAGTCTAAATGCATAATGACCTAATGTGGCAATTAAAATCATCTCTTTGCTAGGTCATTACCCCTCTTAATAGTACGGCGAAACTAAAAAATAAACTAGCAAATTTGATCGCCCTAC